CCGCCGCCGCCCGCCTCTGCCTCAGCGCCGCGCTGGGCGCCGCCATGTCGGAGCCCGCAGCGAGCATGCGTGAGGCCAGCCCGGCCCGGCCCGCCCTCCCCTCCACCACTAACCCCCCCCGCTGCGAGGCGGGCAGCCGCGGCCGGGCTGTGAGGGCTGAGGCGAGGCGGGCTGAGGCCGTGATGGCGGGGCTGTTGGGAGACTGTCCCGCGTCGGCCGTGTCTCTTACAGCCGCGGTTTCTGTGGAAAAATGGCGTCTGTACGCCTCGGCCCCAGGGAGCGACCTTTGGAAAAGGGCGAGAAAGTGCAAAGTTAAGGGAAAAAAAAGGAAAAAAACCCACCACAAAAACGGAAAGAAACAGGAGTTGGCTGCAAAACCTCTTCTCCCGCCCAAGGAGGCCTGGGCCCTCTGTGGAGCCATGTCCGCTGGCACAGGCAGGGTCTGGCCGCAGCCCCTTCACCTCACCCTGCCATCCCCGGGCTCCGTCCCTGAGGAATAATTTTTAAGTTAAATTCCTCAGGCTTTCTATATTTGGCACTTCTGAGACTGCCATGATTTCTACTTCATAGTACTCCATAGCCGCCAAGCACTTGACTCCGCGTTGAGTTCATAAACGCTGTTTTTTAGCAAAACCACGCTAATAAAGCGGCCTCGGCGGTCATCAGTGAGTTTAGGCGTGTGTCGTGCTGAATACCGCCGTGCTAAACCGTTCGATTGGTCTCTGAGAAAGTATCTGTTATCAGGTGTAACGTTATTCAATGCTTTTCAGACTGTAAAGCGGTCCCTTCTAAATGCCTCTTTTGTTTTTCCAGTTTCCCATCACCGCTGCTTGCATTGTTCTCCTTAGAAAAAAACCCTACATAATGGTGCATTGTATAGGGAAAGAAAAATAAGCTATTTGTTAAAGGCCTCTGGTATACTGCAGTTTCGCTCTCCCTTTGGATTAGCCACAAGGGTTGGCTAGATAAATTTAAAGAGATGTAAGCTAATGGTTTCCTTTGTGGGGTCTTTATGAAACTTTTACAGCAAATTCCACATTAAATGGAAATGTCTGTAAAACAAACTGGATAATTGAGGAAATTACTGAGGAAAAGAGGAGGGTTTAGGCTAAAGATTTAGCAAAAAAAAAAAAAGAAAAGGAATAATTGGAGCTGGGAAGGGAACGCTGCACTGGGTCGGTTTTCACTGCTGAAGATTGCTCTGAGATCTGCCAGATGCACAAGTTGGGACGGTAGCAGGAATGAACACCAAACTCAGCCGACCCAAGCTCGAGGGACATGATGTGTCAATAGCACCTTCCAACAATACGAGCTGCAAAGTTTTAAGTCTATTAAATGGCAGAAAAATGTTGTTACTCTACAGGACCGATCCAACTCTCATAAAAGGCAATGGAAGCCTTTCCTTCAGCTTTACTGGAAGATGGTTCAAGCTATAAAGGAAAACGTGCAATAAAACAGCAGATTAGAACATCAGATGACCTTCTCTCTGTTCTGAGTTCCTGCTGGTATGCAGCTTTGTGTGGATCATCATCTGCGTCGGGTTTTCTGCTCACTTACCTACCTACTGTCAGCTTTTATCTTCAGGTCGCAATTTTCCCTCGCGTTCCCTCTTTTCAAAGTAAGGTCTCAGAAAAGAAAACAATGTAAAAACCAAGAAAGTAACGCAAACAAGATATTTAAGAGCGAGGCTCTGAGCCTTAAAAGTCTCAAAGGGAAAGCGATTCATAAATGTCAGGCTGGCAGGCAGGCGCTGAGGCATCATTGATGCAGATCTTCATTCAACAAAATGCGCGCCGCCACGTCCCCCCGCCCGACCCTATTTTGCTGTGTTCCAAACAGCTGCAAAAGTGACAGAGAAACAAGCATTTACTGTCACAGCACCCAGCAGCTGTCCCCACCAGCACCTCAACCCTGCTGTCCCTGGCACCCTAAATTACTCTGTGTTCATTCAGGTCTAGTCTTTCGCCCCTCTGGCTGCCAGGAATTGGGTTTTAAATAAAACAGAGAAAGTGAATGTGTGCAGAAATAACTATTTTGTAAAGCAGCATTAACATTTGGGGACTCCTCTAAAGAAAACATACATTCAATTATGTATAATGCAGTTACACACAATCCTGCTGAGCGTTCAGCTGCGTTCGCTAAATGGGAGGTGGGGATCTCGCAAAGAATTTGGGAGCTTCTTCTACTAGTTAAGATTTTTCCAGCGGTAATATTTTTTCCATTAAAATCCCTGATCCTTCCCTATGGAAATCTGATCTTTAACTCCAGGGTTAGCAGGATTAAGGCTGAAAAGGATTTTCAGAGGAAGAATTACCTTTATTCCTCCTGTATTTGTACAGCATCTGAAATGAGGTGGTGCTGATTCAGAAGACGGATTCCTACGCGGTGCCATAAGACAAACAATTAATAATCACAGTAATCATAATTAATAGAATTGTGCTTCTCCATTATTTTGAAAAGATGCTGTCCAGCCTGTGCTGTGCAGGAGGAAAGAAGAGATCCTTTGCCAGTGTCTCACCTGGCCTTTAACATGTAACACATACCTGTGTGTTGTTGATCCCGCAAAAGCAAATTTTGTTTTGTTGCTGGTATCTTAGAATATTTGAACAGAATTCCACTGTTTTTGGTCTTTACGCATGCATGTTTTCTGAGACCGAAAGAGAAGGCCGTCCCTTTTGGGTTTGCAATTGTTTTCACCTCTGGGTCCTTGGCTGTCAGCATGACGGTGTGCAACTTCAGGCTGGGAACACTGCAAGATAAAAACACAGAACAAGCCACTAGTTAAGTTTTTCAACTGGGATATTAAAGAACTAATAATCATAAAAGCACTTGTTAGTAAAGGCTATTTTATTTTAGCAGAAATTCCACACCAGGCCCAATGTAACATGTAAAGATTTTCATGAAGCCCTCACTGCCTTTGACTCACGCTGAAGTCAAAGCTTTCTAAAAATAAATGGCCTTTTTCTCTGATATCAGTGGCCATAATGAAACCTAGAAAAGGGCTCAGGAATCCCATGCTCTGCTCTCTACTTGTGTTTCAAGCAGGAGAGAGGTCAGTGGAGTCCTGCCCAGTGCAGGTGTGCAGAGTTTCTTGTATCAACGCCAGGTAAATGTTCCTGGGTTGGAAAAGAGCTGCTGGGGGACGTGTTCCTCCATTGTTCACCCTGCAGCTGCCAAAGTATTCCTGTCCAGAAAAAGGAGGGATGCTGGAGCTAGGCACCCCATTAACACAGTAAAAAATAATAGTAAACTAATATTTAAGCCTCTCTCTTCCCCCCCTGTTCTCAGCAGACTGCAGCAGCTGTGCAAGGGGTGCAAGTTTGCATCCACTCATGGTGGTGGGAGCCTCGAATCCCCAGCTCTTCGCAATCCATGGAAACACCTCTAATGCCAGGCTTTGCATGAGGCTGTGCAATAAAAACTTGTTCTTGCTGTGGTGGGAGCACACAGTGACTTTCATGACAGCACACAGTAATGTTTCACTCCTGCTGTGCAGGTGAAAACAAGAATTTCAAGAGCACAGCTAAGTGCACAGTGGTGGGAGCTGTGGAAATGCCGAGGACTAAATACCCCAGGTGTTAATTAAAATTTGCAAAAAGGTTCTGTCTCCCTTACTCCTGAATTTTTCAGAGCAGCGAGGCTCATTTCGTGTGAACAGAGGACAAATTTTGGACCTAAACTGATCTGCAAGCAGCTGAGCCATGTACATTTAGCCTTAAAATTGCATGAGCAGGACAGGTTATGTGCTGGGGCCTTCACAAGCACAGTGTAGAATTGGACCCATCACTACAGTTCATCTTGAGAGCAAAGCTTTTCAGCTCTTCTGCTGCTATTTCAATTGAAATTAGTTGAAAGTTACCACAGGTCTTTTTTTTCTTTCTTTTCAAATATCAGGAGCTTTCCTGAAAAGGACTGAACATTGTTTCACAGCAATCTCTGAGTTGCCACTGAACTGCTGTATCCTCTGGGCAGAGCATTAATCCTGCAGATGTCAGAGGCTTACTTTAACACCACGCATAGGTTACTCTTATCTGATCAGGGGTGTTTTTTTCTTCCCCTGTACAGCTCTTTCTATTTGCTCTTTGAAATTCCCATGTAAAAATCAGCTCGCAGTTCAAAGGTAGCCATTTTTTGAAAAATGATAACTTTACCACTCGATCAGATTAAGTGATAGAGCCCACCTTTGGGCCAGGCCTCCACCCAGCCAGGGAAGGAGTGCAGTACGTACCCGCGTTGCAGAGCATATCCCCTCGCATGCAGTGGTTCCCGCATGCTCTCATGCTCTGAAAACTCCTTCCCTGTCTTCTACGGAAGATGAAATTTCTCCTCCCTGACATTAGTGGGGCTCTGACTGCTCTGAAGCCAATGCAGACCTTGTATTTAGTGCCTGATCCCCAGCAACACTGGTGTGAGCTGGCCAGGAGCTTTATTGGAGACTGTGTCAGACTTTAAAGAAAATGAAGCAGTGTTACCAATATTGACAGGCAGCTGGTGGACCTCTGCTGTGCCCGCTCTCTGTCAGGAACAGCCAGCTCTGTTCCACAAACCCTCTCTAAACGTACCCCGCTTGGGTGCACTCTTTAAGGCTCCATTGGGCAACAGGAATCTCAGTTCCTCCCTCCCAGATCTACACCCTTTTCCTGGAAATCCCAGTGTCAGGGCCCACCCTGCAGAGGTCTGGGTCAAGACAGAGAAGCTTTAGGCTGGGTCTAGATGACGCATCATGCAGGATCACTGCAAGACCTGCCCTGCAGCTCCATCACTTGCCCATCCCTGTGCAAACATCACTGGTACTTTGTCATACAAAAATTTGAACGAGACCCTGTAAGACAAATGATGTCACTTGAACCCACTTCTTGTCCTAGCATAATCTTGTTCCATTTCATGGATGAGCGAACTTCTCAGGAAATGTGAGCTGCTGAAGTTTCCCAGCTGCTCCAGCTCCCTCCTCTCCCTGTGTCATCTCAGCTTCTTGCAGCCTTGCCCAGGTCGGATGGTCTGAAAGGCAAGGCAACGCTGCTCCCTCCACCAGCTCGGCTGAGAACT